GGACACTAGTTTCTTCTTTGAGTCTATGGTTTCTTACTTTTTTTTTTCTCCAGATGAGTAGAGACCAATAGCTGTATCTTAGATGGCCATTCACTTTTATTTTTATCTACTTGTAGATTAAAAGAAAATTGAGTATCTACTATGTGTTTACATCTAGATTATTTTATTATTAAATAATGCATATGAATTGACTCAGCGCGTGGCACATAGTAGGCACTCAATTAACACTAACTTCCATTCTTGTTCCTTGTTGGTGTTATTATTATGCCCATTTCGAACATGAAAAAGCTGAGGGTTAAATGCCCCTATTTACCCCAGTCCCTAAACTGCAGTCTAGGCTCCCACTCATGCTTTCCAACTCTAACTTTCATGGGTGACATGTGTGGCTTCCGCTCCCAGCACACAGCTCAGAAGCCGGGCCCTCCCTCTTCCCCTCGGGCAGCTGGACAGACTAGGGAGATGCCTTACCCGGATGAGGTTCTTCTCCACGTTGTCATGCACCAAATCAATCCCAATCCTTTTCTCTCGATGGTACAGACACTCCAGGGCCACCTGTTGGGAGCAAAGGAAAGAGCGTGTTCTCTGAGGTACTGTGGGTACACGCTGAGCAGGTTGCCTTGCTCGATCCATTCGTATTTTCAGGGAAACCTGGGGACTTGGAGGTCTCATTTGGCCTCCTTGCTGTGTTTTGGGTGGGATTCTGTTCTTGTTTATCCCTTGGGGGAGGAGAGGCTGTGGGATGCCATGCCCAGTACATTAGGGGACATTGGGTCTATGTAGAGAAAGTAGGATAAAGTGTTGTCTTGGGAACGAACTGTGTTCAGATGTCTCTTGGCTCTACCTACACCAGGAGTGATTGGGGATGAGGGCTGACACCCCTCCCATAATCTCCATAAATTGGCCCTAAGCCTTCCCAAATTATAATCAGAAAGAGAGTTAAAATCCACTGTAATTTCAGATAAGACAAGAGTGGCTACTGTTCTCCATTTAGTTTCCCTTTCCCTTTCCTCAAGTAGGAGTGGATGAAAATTCTTCCCTTCTGGGGAGGTCATGGGGGAGACAGGGAGGTTGAAGCTGATGGGGGAATGGAAGGCAGCAAATCCCATTTCAAGATTATAAGAGGTGGAGGATGGGTCCCTGCATCCAATTCTCCCAGCCCGACCCACTCCAGCTGACAGAATGAATACCAATGAAGTGGTTGGAAGTACCCACCAGCTGTGTAACCCAGAAGTGTCCTCATTGATATAGAAGCTGGAGCAAACAGCCGCCACCAGGGGGCAGCAAACAACTTCGGTACAGAGGGATTGGCGTGCGCAGAGGACTCCTTGAACAATCTGCCCGTGCTATGATTTCCCCAAAGAAGATATACAAATGGCCAACGAGCACACAGAAGGATGTTCACAATCATTAGATGTTGGGGAAATGCAAACCAGGACCACAGTGATCTACCACTCCACACTCACCAGGACGATCATAAGGAAAGAATGGAAAATAACATTTTATTTTAGTATCTTCTTTGGACATATATATATTCATGTTCTTTGCTCATTTTTTTTCTTTTCCCAAAGTGAGATGGGGATTTTGGAGGAAGGACTCTCACTCTGTAGTTTGGTAGCCCATTAAAACCACCGATGAGGATATGGAGAATTGGAACCATTGTATATTGCTGGTAAGAGTGTAAAATGGTTCAGTAGCTGTGGAAAACAATTTGATGGTTCCTCAAAAAGAAAACCATGGAATTATGACTCGGCATAGTTTAAGTTGTAAGGAAGACGCAGGACTGGGCAGTGTTTCATTGTGTTGTAATAGGGTTGCTATGAGTCAGAACCATATCAAGGGCGCCTAACTACAACATAATTTAAGTACACAATCAAAAGAACTGAGACTATGTACAAAACAAATACATGTACACACATGTCCCTTGCAGCACTATTCATAATCGCCAAAAGGTGGAATCAACCCAAATGTCCGTTAACAGAATGAGTGGATAAACAAAATAGGATACAACCATCCAATGGAATAACATTCGTTTATAAAGAGGAATGACGTTCTGACACCTGCTACAATGTGGGTGACACTTGAAAACATTATGCTGAGTGAAAGAAGCCAGACACATGTGGTATGAAAGGTCATATATTGTATGAAATATCCATAATAGGTAAGTCCATAGAGATAGAAGATTGGTGAGAGCCAGAGGTTGAGATGAGGCAGGAATAGTGCAGGTTTCCTTTGGGGTGAGAAAAGTGTTATGGAACTAGATAGAGGTGGTAGTTGTATAACACTGTGAATATACTAACCATTATGAATCGTTCACTTTAAAATGGTTAATTTTATTATATGTGTATTTCATCTCAATAAATCAATGAATACATCCCCTTACTTCCAGAGATGTCCCACTTACAGCAACAGAAGTCCCAAAGATGGAGTTGGACTGATGCCATCTGGTAACCAATATCAACCATGTTCTCTGCCATGTTATTTACAGATGGCAGAGCTGGGCCTGGACATTAAGGGCAGAATGAATGTCAGGTGGGTCGAGCTGAGGGGTCCCCTCATCTCTTTTCCTTCCTCACTGCTCATCCCTTGAGGGAAAAGCATCTCTGTTAAGACAGAGGAAAAGCTTAGAGACTTTGTTGACATAAGAATGCATTGAAGGTACTCCATGAAACAAGCTGGACATGTAGACATTACACACTAACTTTTTCTGTAAGAGGCCAGATTGTAAATAATTTTTGCCTTGATAGACCACACATTTTCTATCACAATTACTCAATTCTGCTTTGTAGCATGAAAGCAGCCACAGAAAATAGATAAACAATTGGCCATGGATGTATTTCAAGAAAACTTTATTTGCAAAAGCAGACAGTGGGCCCAATTTGGCTTTGGGATGTAGTTCACCAATCCCTGCTCTACACTAACAAATTGGAAGGACCTAGAACCACCGGCAAAGATGGAACGTGAGAACACAGACCTTTCTAGGATGGAGTAAGGGGTGGTAGAAAAGACCAGGAGAAACACTGGGAGAGAATCAAGAGGGGAGCTGGGAAGTGGGGGACCCTATTGCTGACAGACAACTTTAGGTCCACATCTTCTGACCTTGTACATATGTGACTGGCTAATAGTGAGCCGTCTTCTCTCTGGTAATGGACTGTAATCTCCCTCCTCTCAGACCTGGCCTCTCAGTCACTTACATGAAGTGATTACAGATGAAAAACATCCTGTAGCTGACTGGTAGCCGTCCTTGGGTGGTACCAACGGTTAAGCACTCAACTAATAACTGAAAGGTTGGTTCAAACCGACCTGGAGATACCTCGGAAGATAGACCTGGGGATCTGTTTCCAGAAGGTCACAGCCATGAAAACTGTGGAGCACAGTTCTCCTCTGACACATACAAGGTCGCCAGGAGTCAGAATCAACTCGATGACAACTGGTATTTTGATGGTATCTGGCTGATTGGGCGCTTTGGTGGTTGAATAGGCCCGTCCTCCAAGAAATAGCAGAGTTTCTTGGTTAAGAGAAGACCTAACTCCAGACTCGTGACAGTTCACTGATTGTTGTTGTTGTTGTTATGTGCCGTCGAGTTGGACCCGACTCATAGTGACCCCTCCCTGGGTTTCCGAGGCGCTATCACTACAGAAGTAGATTGCCCAACCTTCCTTCTGAGGAGTGGCTGGTGGCTTTGAACCACCAGCCTTCTGGTTAGCAGTCAAGTGCCTGAGGCACTATGCTACCAGGGCTCTCAGTTCACTGATTAGGAGCCTGGATTGTAGAGTAAGAACACCTGAGTTCAAATCCGGGCTTAGCCACTTCCACCTGTGTGCTTAAACCTCTCTGACCTCCTGTTTCCTCATCTGCAGACGGAAACAAGATCAGTGCATGTCTCAGATTTGTTGTATGGATTAAAACAGCTGGACAAATGTTAAGCATTTGGAACAGCATCACTATTACTTATGGATATTTGTGAAATTCCATTTTGGAGATCTCCAGAGGGAGAGTTTGGAAAGTGACCGGGGCAAGCAGGCCTCACAGCTGTCATGGGAGACCTGAAGCAGAGCACAAGGGAAGGCAGGAGGAGGGGCCGCCGGGGAAGAGAACCTGCAACAGGAGACTGGGAAGGATGGTGATTGGGCCTCTCGCTGTGACGTCACAAAGAGCAGGGGCAGCAGCAAGGAAGGATGCAGGGAGCACTGAGGTCTTGACACCAGGAATGCATATCTGTCGGACCGCAGACACCTTCATCATCTCCGAGAATTTGCCGAGCCCCTCCGGTGCACCAAGCTCAATACAGGTGCTAGTGATACCTCGACGGACCAGACAGACAGGGTCCTTGCATTCTAACAGAGGGGGGAGGCAACATACAAGTAAACACGTAAAGAAATTGAGTAATTTCTGACTGTGATGAAAATAATCAAGATGATGTGGAGGGAAGTAGCCAGCAAAGTAGTCAGGGAAGGCTTCTTGGAGGAGGGGACAGGCTGTGCAGAAAGGAGTGGGAAGAAAGCACCAGGAAGAGGGAACAGCAGGTGCAAAGGCCCTGCAGTGGGACAAGGACCAGACAGGAGACCACTTGACTGCAGTGGAAAAGAGAAGCTGGAGGAGTGGGCTGGGCCAGACAGTGCATGTTAACTGCAGTGTGGTGGGAAGCCATTGAGGTGGCTCTAAGTGAGGGAGTAGAGTCTCTGGGTGGTTCAAATGGTTCATGTGCTCAGCGGCTAGCTGAGAGGTTGGAGGTTTGAGGCCACCCAGAGGCACCTTGGAAAAAGGCCTGGCGGTCTATTTCCAAAAGATCAGCCACTGAATATTTTATGGGGCACAGCCCTGCTGACACACAGGAGTCAGAGTCGACTTGATGGAAACTGGTATTTCCGTTTGTTTATTTTACCAGGGGAGGGTAGAGTCTGTTTAACATTTAAAATCCTCCCGTCTGGTTGCTGTGTGGAGAGTGGGTTGGAGGAGAGCAGGGGTGGGGTGACTGGCTAGGAGGTAATTGGTGTTGTCCAGTGAGAGGCTGCCTGGACTGGATGTCAGCTCTGGAGGTGTTGAGAAACGGTAGAACTGAGATGTGTCTTGGCCCCACGGCACTGCTGGGGAGGCTATCAGAGTTCTGTGAAATGGGTTAAAATGGAAAACATGAGGAGCCATCCGGAAAATGTGATATTTTCTTGATAAAACGGCACAGACCCAGTTGGCATGTTTGCCCCTTGCCCTAGCCCCACCTCTTGCCTCAAACGCTCCTTGCAAGCAGGAGGACAAATTCCCCTTGTAGTCAACTTTCCCTTACATGCAGCCAAATGCACTCCTAACTGATCTGGGATATGACTGGAGACTGGAAGACCAAGGAAGTGTCAGTGAATGTCTGCATTCATATGTTTATTCATTTCTTCAGCAAATTTTTATTGAGTGCCTACTACAGCCAGACACTGTGCTAGGCTGGGAGTACATTAAACACAGTAGCTTGAGCAATCATCAATCAGAGTAGACATTGATCATTAAGGACCAGAACAGCTGCAATGGTGCATCATAGTTTAATATCAATCTTGAACACATTGGTGACAAACTAGACAAAAATCCTTGCCCTCCTGGAGCCTATATTCTAGCGGGGAGAGAGAGACAATACAGGAATTCATAAGACAACCGTGAATTCTGTTAGAAGGTGATAGGTGCTATGGGAAAAAATAAAGCTGTCATTTTAAGTATGTCCTCTAAGGCCCATAACACACACCCCAAAACATATGCATGCATGAATACAATGTCTCAATGATATAACCCCAAAGAGACAAGGAAATGAAATTCTGTCTGAAGAACGTTGATTTGGCTGGGAGTAACCTGAATTGACTGAGAGTCGATTTTTTACCTTCAAACCAGTTGTATCAATGATCGAAACATAAGAACTCAAACTATAAAACTCTTAGAAGAAAACATAGGGGTAAAGCTTTGAGACCTAGTGTTTGACAATCGATTCTTAGATAGGACACCAAAGGCACAAGCGAAAAAGACAAAATGGGTGAATTCGATTTCATCAAAGGACTTTATGGTGGAAGTGAAGAGATAACTTACAGGATGAGAGAAAATATTTGGAAACCATACAGCAAATGGGAACCGTACAGCAAAATGGGAGCTCTGGTGGCACCGTGCCTAGGGCATTTGACTGCTAACCAGAAGTCTGGTGGTTCAAACCCACCAGCCACACCTTGGAAGGAAGACTGGGCAATCTACTTTTGTAGAGATACCGCCTCGGAAACCCAAGGAGGGGTCGCTGTGAGTTTGATCCGACTCCATGGCAGTGCGTTGCATTGTGTTTATAGCAAATTAGGGTTTAATATTTAGACTATATGTTTAAAAACTCCTGCAACTCAACAACAGAAAGACAACCCAATTAAAAAATGGGTAAAGAATTTGAAAAGACATTTCTCCAAAGAAGGTATACAAATGGCCAATAAGCACATGAAAAGGTGTCATTGGTCATCAGGGAAACGCAAATCAAAACCACAATGAGATACCACTTCACACCCACTAGGGTGGCTGTCATAATAATAACGATTAAAAAACAAAAACAAAAACGGAAAATAACAAGTGTTGGCGACAATGTGGAAAAATTGAGACTTTCATCTATTGTTGGTGGGAATGTAAAATGGTGCAGCCACAATGGAAAGTCGTTTGTGGTTCCTCAGAAAGTTGAACATAGAGACACCATATGACCAGCAATTCCACTCTAAGCATATACCTAGCACCGAGACTCAAGCAGACACTTGCACACCAGTGTTCACTGCATCCAGTTCACGACAGCCAGTACAAGTAGAAGCAACACTAGTGTCCATCAGCAGATGAATGGATGAACAAAACCTGGTGCATACATACAATGGAGTATTATTCAGCCATCAAGAGAGATGAAGTTCTGATACATGCCGCAACATGGATGAATCTTGAAAACGTTATGCTAAGAGAAATAAGTCAGGCACAAAAGGGCAAATACTGTATGATCACCTTATATGCACTTTGTAGAATAGGCCAAGGCATAGAGACCAAAGTTTATTAGTGGTTACCAGGGACTGTGGGGAGGCAGAATGGGGTGGTACTGCTTAAGGACACAGAGATTTTTGGGGTGATGAAAAGCGTTTGGAAATGGATAGTGGTGATGGTTGTGCAGCATGGCAAATGTAATTAATGTCTCTGAATATGACACTTAAAATGGCTAAAATGATAGCATTTTTATCATACATGTTTTGTCACATTAAACTAAAAAAAAAAAAAACAAAAAAAACTAACTGATCATATATGACAGTGCAGCTGAAACCAACCTGCAAGGTGCCTATGGCCCTAACCTTCACACAGGGCAAGTGGAATGCACGTGGCTGCATGGCGTGGGCCGGCCACAGCCCTCTCCTGTCCCACACTCACCTGCAGGGGACAGTTCACCTCATCGGCCGCACATTCCAGACGTCTCTTCACCGTCTCCATACTGTGATTTTCGGTCAGAAGCCTTTCTAGCTCATAGCCCAGCTCGGACTTCCAGAAGCCGATGTCCGACAGCCTCTGGCTCAGGTTTCGGCAGGTGCCATCCTGCATCTGGCGTGTCAGCTGGTCCTTGTCCTGCATGAGCCGCATGGAGTCACCCATCAGCCGGCCGGCCCACAGCCGGGAGGCCTCGGCCCCTCGCAGCTGCAGCTCGTTGGATCGGTCCCAGTCGTGAGGGCTGTAGCGACAGAAGAGCGCCGAGCGCAGGGCTGGCAGGATGGTGGGTGGCCGCAGGGCCCTGCGGCTCGTGGTGCCCTCATCTGGGCAGGTCTGCACGTCGGAGACCTTGCAGAAGAGGCTGGGTCTCCATGAGTTGAGGTAGCGGTAACCGGGCAGGTAATAGGGCTGGTAGCATTCCTGGACCACGGGGGTCTGCTGGGTGGGCGGCAGCATACTCAAGCCACAGGCTTTCTTGTTGCCACAGTAACTGGCTGTCTGAGAAGTTCCAAGGAACTCCATCGTCCTCCATCAGCCCCTGTCAGGCCAAACTCTGCCCAATGGGCCCAAGGCATCACCAGCCACGGGGCAGGGCCTGCTCTGAAGGAGCAGGGGAGCTCTGTGACTCAGCACTGGTGTCATAAAGCCTCGGGCAGTGGGACTTCACAGGCCACTGGCAGGCCCGCTGGGCCATGTTGTCTGAATTTTTAAAATAAAAATCTACAAAACAAATATGAGTTTCCTCGATCCACAGAGTTGGGGGTGCAAGAAATAGCACTTCAGTCATTTTCTATGACAACATAAGCTGTCCCAGAACCAGCTCTGCCCTGTGGGAGAAAATTAAACTAGGGGACTTAACAGTACAGGATCACTGTGGTCAAGGTGGCTGTTTTCTTTCTCTTGTGTCCCCAGCATGACATCTAAGTGGTCATAGTGTGGAATTCTACCCAGCGCCAAAAAGGAACAAAGTATTGGTACACAGAACATGATGTACCTCAACCACATTAAGCAAAGCGGAAGCCACCAGACACGACAGGCTACCTCTGTAATGACTCCACTTCCGGGACATTCTGGAGAAAGTGTTCTGGTTCCCTAGTGCCTCTCTGACAAGAATATACCACAATGGGATGGCCTTAACAAACAGGAGTTTATTCTTAAATTTGGAGGCTTTAAGTCCAAGTTCAAAGTGCCAGGCTCTAAGGGCTGGGTGAAGCTCCTCAACCTTGGGGTCCAGCTCTGCCTCCTGCTCCCGGCCCACTGGAGCTAGAGGCGTTTCTTCACTCAGACAGCTGTTGGCTGTTGAGGCTGAGAAGCTCCAAGGTTGACAAGTAAAAAGGCACAGTCCCGATGTTACCAATCCACATAGCAGGCCGTTAACTTAAGTCCACTCTAAGTCCCAAGGTCGGCAGAGCATAGCAGGCTGCTGAGCAATGACACGGCTACAAGCAGGGTCCAAGTGTGCTAAAGGTTAGAGACCATGCCCAAGGCTTCTACTTGTATACAGGAAGCAGACCACATACCCAAAGCAGTTCCTCAGCTGCTTGTGGTAGATCCCACCACGGAGTTGATTGCCAGTCTCATCATGGGGAATAACTACCACCAGCTGCCCAGCCACTCAACCAGGCCCAGCCAAGTTGACACACAAACATAACTACCACAGAAGGCAAAACCGATGAACAGAAGATAGCTCGGTGCTCACCAGGGGCTGGCGTGCGAGGGGCCAACCACAAAGGGCCGTGAGAACATTCTGGGTCTGGCCAGCACTGTTCTGTACCTTGGCTGTGGTGGCGTTTACACGTGTTTGTCAAACTCATAGAGTTGTACACTAACCAGGGTGAATTTTCCTGTATGTAATTTGTACAGTGCTAAAATTCTTACCTTCCATGAGGGAGGCCCTGGTTTGATTCTTGGCCAATGTCCTTCAGGCGTTGCCACAACCTGTCCATCGGTGGAGGCTTGCATGTTGCTATGATCTGAACAAGTTTCAGTGGAACTTCAGACACAGACTGGGAAGGAAGGCCTGGCGATTTCCAGAAATGGGCCAGTGACAACATTATGGATGAAACAGGACACTATCCAATATACACGGGTCATCAGGAAAGACCAATTGCTGGAAACGGGCATCGTGTCTGGTAAAGCAGAGGGTCCACGGAAGTGAGGGCAACCCTCCGTGGGGTGGGCTGACACACGGCCGCAGCGGCGGACTTGAGCGTACCAAGGACCATCAGGATGAGTGGGGGCCCCGTGAGGTTTTGTCCCCATGAGTGGGCCGACTGGACGACAACTCAGCAATAATTCTCTATAATCCAGACAACGTCTGGTTAAGCCCCGGACCCCTGATACACACAACCTCGGCAATGCTCGTTGGTTTTGAGAGTAAATTCCTAACAGCCTGGAACTGTGTGAGCTCGCTTCAGACACACTTGGGGCTTCCAACTCCTGAGGCTACGGGTTCCTGTCTGTGGACCGTCCATTTGACATAAACAAGGATGGCATAGCAGTGGGAAGCTGGAAGAACCAGAACACGGCTCACTTCCATTGTGTTATTCTGTGTGACCACTTGGGGTTCTTATTTGTGTTTAGAATTTAAAACAGAAACAGAATGCAACCTATGAGGTGTCATACTTTTGTTTGGAAAGTGAAATTTTTATTTTTATTATTACTATTGTTATAATATTGTTGTTGTTGTTGTTGTTAGGGGCCGTCAAGTTGTCTCTGACTCATAGCGACCCTGTGCACAGCAGAACGAAACACTGCCCAGTCCTGTGCCAGCCTCACAATCCTTCTATACCTGAGCCCATCATTGCAGCCACCGTGTCAATCCACCTTGTTGAGGGCCTTCTCCTTTTTCACTGTCCCTCCACCTTACCAAGCATGACATCCTTCTCCAGGGAATGGTTCCTCCTGACAACATGGCCAAAGTAGGTGAGACGAAGTCAGGCCATTCTCGCTTCCAAAGAACATTCCAGCTGCACTTTTTCTGGGACACATCTGTTAGTCTTTTTAGCAGTCCTGTGATATTTATATAATTGAAAAACTTTATTTCATACATGAAATCTCTTGCTGAATTCAAGCAATATCTTTAAAACAGAAATGTATCCTTTTTATGTGTTTAAAATAAACACTAAGAACATGACTATTACTGAAAATACTGTGATACAGTGGAAGAGGATGGGGGTATTGAAAAATAATTCTCTACTCAGCATGTCAAACACACTAGGCACAACACTGCTTGGCGACCCCTGGTCCACCACCAGAAGATTTGTTTTCTGTCCATTTTAAACTATCCTGATGGAAAACTCATTTCCTTTCGGAAATACCAGATGGCTGGCAGAATCCAAATTCCAGAGGGAAGTGGAGTGAGTGGGAGGGGGTCCATGAAGACCTGAAAGGGGAGACCTCACTCTTCCTGGGGGCAGGGTTTCATGCAAATGCCCCCCAATCCTCCACCCTAGTTCCGCCTCCCCAGCTTTGGAGACCTCAGCCTGTGGTCACCCCTGCAACCTCTGGCCTAGGACCTGGAGCGGGGAGGGCTGTTTTGAGAAGGCCACCCAATGTCCAGTGGCTGTAAAGGGATCCCTTCCACAGCTGAGAAGTCCGCGTAAACCATCTGTCTGCAGAAGAAAGGCATGGAGACTGTTCTAGGTGCCAGCTTAACTGGTGCTGTTAGAACTTTCCGCAGTGATGGCAATGCCTTATTCTGTGCTGTCCAGGACAGTAGCCAGTGGTCACGTGTGCCTACTGAGTACTCGAGATGTGGCTGATCGACTAAGATAATATTTAGTTCTATTTACTTTCAGTTAAATAGCCACATGTGACTCAAACTCAAAAAACAAATGCACTGTCATCAAGTTGATCCCGACTCATAGCGACCCCTTCTTGGGTTTCTAAGGCAGTATCCCTACAGAAGTAGATTGCCCAACCTTCCTTCCAAGGAGTAGCTGGTGGGTTTGAACCGCCAGCCTTCTGGTTTGCAGTCAAATGCCTTAGGCACTGCTCGACCAGAGCTCCTCACATGTGACTAGTGGCTTCCATATTGGATGGCACAGGGCCGGAGAATCTATACATGCTAATGGAGAGTAATCTTCTAGAAAGATTAATGAGAGGTGCAGAAAGAGGAAGTGTGTCTAAAGAACTAGCATTTGGGTGGAAATGGGGTGGGAGGTGGGACTGGATATTTGCTTATACATGCAGAGAGGATCCCTTGAAGGACGGAGGAGGTGATAACCCCAGCCCAGCCACTGGAGTGGTTACCCAGCAAGCACTCGATGTTGTTGTTGTTGTTGTTATGTGCCGTCGAGTCGGCCCCGACTCATAGCGACCCCTTCTTGGGTTTCCGAGGCAGTATCACTATGGAAGTA